ATTGCACTCCAGCCTGGGTAACAAGAGCGAAACTCCGTCTCAAAAAAATAAATAAATAAAAATAAAAAAATAAATAAATAAATAAAATAAAAATAAAAAAATAAAAATAAATTAAAAAAAAAAAAGAAAGCAACTAACATAGTTTAAGAGGAAATATAGGCCAGGTGTGGTGTCTCACACCTGTAATCCCAGAACTTTGGGAGACTGAGGCAGGCAGATCACAGGGTCAGGAGATTGAGACCATCCTGGCCAACATGGTGAAACCCCATCTCTATTAAAAATACAAAAATTAGCCAGGCATGGTGGTATGTGCCTGTAATCCCAGCTACTCAGGAGGGTGAGGCAGGAGAATCACTTGAACCCAGGAGGTGGAGGTTGCAGTGAGCCGAGACTGCACCACTGCACCAGCCTGGGTAATAGGGCCTAGGCTCTCTTACCTACTTCTAAGCTCTTCCTTGGCAATCTCATCCTGCATAGCCTCCAATCACACCACTACGAAAGTGACACCAAAATCTGTTTCTTCTGCTCTGATCAATCAGTCTCTGAGCTCTGGAATCACATGTACAAGTCACCTGAGTTCCCTAGTAATGTCAACGAGCAGCCAACCCAAAACTGAAAACATTTTCATGCTAAACATGGTTCCTCTTTCCAGCTATTTTGGCTGATGGCACCACCCAGGCTTAAAACCTCAGATACATCTTGGTCTGCTTCCATCCCTCAATATCTACTTGAACAAGTCCTACAAATTCCACTTCTGTAATGTTCTTGCACCCATGCTCTCCTTTCCATTCCTTTTACTACCCCTCTGCCTCAGATCTTCATTACTTTTCTTTTCTTTTATTATTATTATTTTATTACTTGGTGCATGTAATCTCTGGATGGCAGGGGAAAAGACAGGACTACAAGGATGGAGTCTTGCTATGTTGCCCAGGCAGGTCTTGAACTACTGGCCTCAAGGAATCCTCCTGCCTCCCAGAATGCTAAGATTACAGGCATGAGACACAGTGCCTGGTGTCTTCATTACTTTTCATCTGAACTATTGCTCATCTGTCTCTGGTCTCTCTCCCCCATATCTGTACTCTCATAATTATACTGCTATCAAATTAGTCTCTCTAAAAAAAGGGTCATGGCTAGGCATTGTGGCTCACGCCTGTAATCCCAGCACTTTAGGAGGCCAAGGTGGGCAGATCACTTGAGGTTGGGAGTTCGAGACCAGCCTTGCCAACATGGCAAAACCCCATCTCTACTAAAAATACAAAAAAATTAGCAGCCAGGCATGGTGGTCTGTGCCTATAATCCCAGCTACTCAGGAGGCTGAGGCAGAATTGCTCGAACCTAATAGTTGGAGGTTGCAATGAGCTGAGATTGTGCCACTGCATTCTAGCCTGGGCAACAAGAGTGAAGATTCCGTCTAAATAAAATAAAATAAAACAAGGGTCATGTATTCAAACACCTAGAAGCCAGCAAGATAATATAAATGAGTAAAGTGAGCCAAGTGTTTGCATAGTAAATGCACAAGAAAATTATCCACTTCCATGAAGAAATATGCTTCCCCCTACTTTTTGGAATATGAGGTCCTCTTAGCCCATCATTTACCAGTTTTGATAGAGGCATTGGTATAGAAAACCATTTCTGTACTGCTACTAATAAAAATAACAGTAGAGAATAGTGATCAATGGCACCTGACACTAGGTCTCAGTAAAGAGGAGAAAACAGGAAGTGGTAAGGACAAATTAGATATCACTAGTCCTTTTAAAAGAGGCAGCTACTCAGCTCTAGTCAATTATAACCTTGAAAGAATGGGGGGGCGGGTAGCAGCACCAAATCTTTGGAATTAAAGAGAAGCCAAAAATCTAAATTTTGTTACTTAGTTTCTCTTGCTCAAAAATAAACAAACAATCAGGCTGATAAATTAGAGAGTCACAGCTGGGTGCAGTGGCTCACACCTGTAATCCCAGCACTTTGGGAGGCTGAGGCAGGAGGAACACTTGAGGCCAGTAGTTCCTCCTCTCATTTATTCATTCATTCACTCATTTAGGACAGAGTCTCCCTCTGTCGCCCAGGCTGGAGTGCAATGGCACAATCGCAGCTCACTATAACCTCCATCTCCCAGGTTCAAGCAATTCTTCTGTGTCAGCCTCCTGAACAGCTGGGATTACAGGCATATGCCACCACACCCGGCTAATTTTTGTATTTTTAGTAGAGATGGGGCTTCATTCTGTTACCAGGATGGTCTGGAACTTCTGACCTCAGAGGATCCACCCATCTCAGCCTCCCAAATTGCTGGGATTACAGGCAAGAGCCACCATTCCCATCTGTATTTAAAAAAATAAAATAATATAATATATATATAAGAAAAGAAAAATAGTAAAGATCTGAGGCAGAGTGGCAGTAAAAGGAATGGAAAGGAGACCATGGGTGCAAGAACATTAGAGAAGTGGAATTTATAGGACTTGTTCAAGTAGATATTGAGGGATGGAAGCAGACCAAGATGTATCTGGGGTTTTAAGCCTGGGTAGTGCCATCAACCAAAATAGTTGGAAAAAGAATCACTTGAGCTCAGGAGTTCAAGACCAGTCCAGGCAACATAGTGAGACCCTGTCTCTTAAAAACAAAAAAAGCAAAAAAAAAAAGAAAGAAAAGAAATTAGAGGCCAGGTACAGTGGCTTACACCTGTAATCCCAGCACTTTGGGAGGCTGAGGTGGGTGGATCACTTGAGGTCAGGAGTTTGAAACCAACCTGGCCAACAAGGTGAAACCTATCTCTAAAAATATTAATTAATTAATTAATTAGAGATTCACAACCCCTCCTATTCTGCATCAAGCCTTTTCTCATAGATTCTGGTTCACAAATTTAGCTTACTGTAATTTTCTGGGGAAGTGAAACAATTTAATAAACGTTTATGAGATGCTATACTGGACCAGACTTCACTTTCTTTCTTTTTTGAGACAGAGTCTCACTCTGTCACCCAGGCTGGGGTGCAGTGGTGTGATCTCAGTTCACTGCAACCTGCAAACTCTACCTCCTGGGTTCAAGTGATTCTCCTGCCTCAGCCTCCCCAGTAGCTGGGATTACAGGTACTCACCACCACGCCAGCCTAATTTTTGTATTTTTAGTGGAGACAGTGTTTTGCCATATTGCCCAGGCTGGTCTGGAATTTCTGACCTCAAGTGATCCACTGCCTCGGCCTCCCAAATGCTGGGATTACAGGCGTCAGCCACCGTGCCTGGCCCAGACTTCACTTTCTGATCCTCCTCCACACATAGGTCATGTGTCCACCTGAAAACGATCAAAACCTAGTCATGTCCCAAAGGGTGGGCTGTGAAATCCTCAAAACAACCTAATAGGTCCCTGAATCTGCAGGTCACTCCCTGTTCCTCAATTTCATTTTTCTTTATCCTAGTAAACATATCTTCTGCTTCAGCCAAACACACTTCTTGCACATGCAACCTCATTCACTAGTTGTATCATCTCCCCCTTTTCCACCAATAATTCCCTTCACAACGCTGCTCAAAATACACTTTCCCCAAGGAAGCACTTCTTGATTAATGTTGCTGGATATAAATTCTTTTTTGTTATTGTTTTCTCGTTAGTCTACGTTACAGAGGCCTGCAGAGTTGTATTCTCTTTCTCTCCCATTCATGACCTCCCCAAACTTCCAACAGGCCTGTCTCAGGGCACGCAGGGTGGGAAGGGAGCTGCAGACTGATGCTGCTAACCATCTCCCAGGCCTCCCGAGGCAAACCGCACCCGAATCAACCCAGATCCCGCCTCACCCGTCAGTTCCCCAGTCAGGTAAGTGGCCATTTTGGAGAACATGTCCCGGCAGAGCTCAGTGATGTCAGCTTCAGCGGGCTCCTTTGCTTCCTCAGCTGTCTCCACGGCGGCATCGTCTGGGCCAAGGGAGAGTGAGTAAGTGTCCCGCCTAACACCCGGAGCTAATCCAGCCAAAGCAGCCTGTTCCGGCATCCCTCCACCAGCCTTCATTCCATCAAGTCGGCTCCATTCTCCAACTGCCGTAATTTCAAGTCCTTCACTGTGTCCCTGCCCACCTGACACACCAATTCAGCTCCCTCACACCGTCCAGACCCGGCACCCGCGCCAAACCATCCCAGTCGCCCTGACAAGACAAACACTCGCGCGCAAGACAGGTGCACTCCTCCCACCAGCCCGTTCCTGCCAGCTGAGCTCAACCCCGCCCTCCCGAGACGGACCCCCGGGTCCCCCACCGGACGCTTCCTCCACTTCCATTCCGGGTACCTCGAGCGGGCTCCTCACGCCGGGTCGCTAACACGCCCTCGGCGGCAGCAGCCATGGCTGACCCCGCGCTGTTTCCGGGCCCGGGTTGTGCGCATGCGCACTGGGTGTGTCCTGCCCGCCCGGCCGGCCCAGCGATCCTGCGCCTCGCGGTCCTCTCTAGCCTCAGATATGACACAGCAAAGGGTGATTCCGGAGCCGAAATTGAAGCTACGCCAGGCTGTTGTGAATCGACCCACTGCCAACAGTCGCGACGTCTAGGACTGAAGGCGAACTCATCCCTACAGTCACACCCTGTAGGGATCACTCGTTTTGTACCACTCACGACCCGTCCCCAAACCACTGAAGACGGGTAGCCCCCTCCCCGACACTCCGCACTGGAGTTAGTCATCAAAAGATTGCTCAGGGAATCCAAACATTTGCAGGTTGTCTCGTCCAGGCTTTGGGACACCTTCGGGCATTGATCCCTGGTCCTAAATACTCTCCCTTCCCAATGTCCTGGGTTAACACCAACTCACTATTTCTTAAACTGCAGGCAGGCACCTACTTCTCTTCAGTTGATACAGCCTTTCTTGAAGAAAGCTTGGACTGTAACTTTTTTAGGGCGGAGGATACACTCTGGTTATCTTAATTGCATTTAAGCTGTTTCACGAGTCTCCTAGGAGTACAGATTAGTTAATGGGATGGGAGAACAGGGGTGAGTGAGAGATGGATGAGAAGTGACGGAGGAGGAATGAAAGGTGCAAAATGAGGAGGAATGAAGACCACAGGAGAAGGGAGAGGAGATACACAGCAGGCCTCAGGCAGGCTCCTGGACACCCAAAATCTTGGTGTGGGAGTTTCTCATCCCTGGTTATCCTCCATCTGCACCCTCTCACCCCACCCCCATGCCAGTACACCATATACATACACACACACACCAGCTACCCACTATCCCCAGCTCTCCTATCCTGACTCTGTCCACTCTGAGGACTGAGTCCCTTGTCACCCGTCCCCACTCTTTCTATGATGCAACCACAGTAGCCACTATTTCAAGCCATTCCTGTGAGTCAGAAGTTCTTTTCTTAAAAAAAACAGTCTCGGCCGGGCGCGGTGGCTCAAGCCTGTAATCCCAGCACTGTGGGAGGCCGAGGCGGGTGGATCACGAGGTCAAGAGATCGAGACCATCCTGGTCAACATGGTGAAACCCCGTCTCTACTAAAAATACAAAAAAAATTAGCTGGGCATGGTGG